CAACACAATTACCTATGTACATTTGTCATTACCCGAGTTTACTCTGATGACTTGCACTGAATTGAATCAGCCAGGGATGCATAGTCCGGAAAATTGGTGGCAACTCGCTGACAAGTTTATCGTGGTTTAGCTTTCCTGCACTGAGCGCGGTTGTTTGCGCATGTGCAGTCACCTAAGTGTCAGTAAAACATTACTGAGTAAAACACAGATGTCATTTGACTGTGGTGCCATGTCCATGTGCCATGCCTGGTTTTTTTAAATCCAAATATTTCCCCTCCTCAGTTTATACAATAATTTGCATCTACACATCTGCGTTATCAATCACATTCGTAACATTCCAAACATGTGCGTCTCTTACGTCCGGTCCTGCGTTGGGGAAAAACACAGAAGTGGGCGGAGCTTTGATGCAGACGCCGGTAACGGCACTTTTACAGTCATAGAAGACACTCAGAGTAAAGAGTAAGACGTATGTTTACAAGCACTGACCCCGTCCTCAGCCCTGGTTTAGTCCTGGTTTAGTCCTGGTTTGGTTGTTTTCGAGCGTGAGTCCCCGCGATCACTTTGCTGCTCTCTGATGTGGAGCGAGGATGTTCACTGCTGCGAGCATCTCACAGCGAACAGTTTTTAAGGTAGTATGATCCATGCTTCAGTGATCAGAGGAATTTAGGGGGGTACTGTGGCGTGCGAGAACGCAAAACTCCGGTTATCTCTGTCTACACACAAATGCATTAACGGAGTTTTCAAAAATCTCCACTTTGCCCGGAGTTTTTTGTATATATTTGTTTAGAATGTGTAATTTTTTATTTATTTAATGCGATCTACCAATACTACCTTTGCGATCGACTGGTAGATCGCGATCGACGTATTGAGCACCCCTGCTCTAGATGGTCTGTCCCTCTAGATGGTCTGTCCCTCTAGATGGTCTGTCTCTAGATGGTCTGTCTCTAGATGGTCTGTCTCTAGATGGTCTGTCTCTCTAGATGGTCTGTCTCTAGAGGGTCTGTCCCTCTAGATGGTCTGTCCCTCTAGATGGTCTGTCTCTAGATGGTCTGTCTCTAGATGGTCTGTCTCTAGATGGTCTGTCTCTCTAGATGGTCTGTCTCTAGATGGTCTGTCTCTCTAGATGGTCTGTCTCTCTAGATGGTCTGTCTCTCTAGATGGTCTGTCTCTAGATGGTCTGTCTCTCTAGATGGTCTGTCTCTAGATGGTCTGTCTCTCTAGATGGTCTGTCCCTCTAGATGGTCTGTCCCTCTAGATGGTCTGTCTCTAGATGGTCTGTCTCTCTAGATGGTCTGTCTCTCTAGATGGTCTGTCTCTCTAGATGGTCTGTCTCTCTAGATGGTCTGTCTCTAGATGGTCTGTCTCTCTAGATGGTCTGTCTCTAGATGGTCTGTCTCTAGATGGTCTGTCTCTAGATGGTCTGTCTCTCTAGATGGTCTGTCTCTAGATGGTCTGTCTCTCTAGATGGTCTGTCTCTAGAGGGTCTGTCCCTCTAGATGGTCTGTCCCTCTAGATGGTCTGTCCCTCTAGATGGTCTGTCTCTAGATGGTCTGTCTCTCTAGATGGTCTGTCCCTCTAGATGGTCTGTCTCTCTAGATGGTCTGTCTCTCTAGATGGTCTGTCTCTCTCTTCATCAAAATAAGATTTAATGAAGAATGAAAGTTAAAAATAAACACTAAATCTTTGGCCTAACTTAACGTATAATTACATGTTTGTTAGCATTTTAGAACAGAGTCAATTATACGGTTGTTTTCCTGAGAAACCAAGCTTTAAAATGAAGTATAACATGCCATAGTAGCCCATTACCATCTCCAGATAAGATTAATCTGACAACAGAGGAACGCATTGATGCTCGGCTCGGTTAGGACCATAAAACCGGAGCACCTGGAGGAAACCTACGCAGACACACGGAGAGCATGCAAACTCCACTCAGGCCCCGTTTATACTGAGACGCTGCGCAGACGTTTCCAGGCAGTTTATTAACAGAAACGACCTGGCTCCTAATGCAAATTTCTCAGCGTTCACATGAGGTTGAAAAAATGTAGTTCTAGCTTCCGGCCAGTAGGGGGCAGAGAAACTTTACAACACGACCCCCAGCCCCGTGCCCAGCCCCCCTCTCGGCAGTGTACTCACTTCCTGTGCCAGACCCTCAGAACGCACCAACATCATTCTGCATTTTAACAGCAGCTGTGAAAATGGAAACTGAACCTAGAGCTTCGCGTGGTCTCATTTGGACGAACAAAGAAGTAGAATTATCCTCTGTGCTGTGCTCGAAGCCCACGAAGCTAGTTAGTGTGACCGCCGCCATTGTTGTTTACGTTTGTTCTCCGCTACTGCGCATGTCCAAATGTACGTGTGGGAGCAGCAGGAGGTGGGGGTCAGAGCAGCAGGAGGTGGGGGTCAGAGCAGAGGGGGATTTCACACCTTTTTCCCTCTCGCGGGTGTGAAAGAGCCCCCGCTGTGCAGCGTTTCTGAGCTGTCCCACTCTGAGGCTGGATCTGAACACTTACGTTTTCACCTGGAACGCAGTCTCCGTATGAACGGTTGGTAGAAACCGACATCCAACTATACCGTTTTACTGCCACATTGTCTCCGTGTAAACTCAGCCTCAGACCGCCACAATTACGACCGGGATTCGAACCCAAGACCCAGGTCAGTCTGTTGATTGTGACAGTTTAGGGGTCAGGGTTTTTTCTTGGTTTTTAGTCTTGTTAACAAAACCATATGACAATAAAACTTTAAAAACCTGAAATGGATCAATCAGGCTTGTTCTGGACCTGGAATTATAATATATACAGTAAATAACAGTTATTACAATGGAACAGCTTCATAGTGATTAGTAATAATGTGGTAATAAGCTGTAAGTAATAAGTAATTCATCAAGTAATTAAGAACTATGAGTATTTTATCATGTTTTAATGACATTTGTAACTGTCTGATTTAACGCACATGGGTTTGGTATAATCTTTAGCTTTAGCATAATAAAGCAGAAATCTTTAGCATAAAAGTTTTAAAGCATAATAAGCTATGCTAACGTTAGCATGGAATCTAACTTAAACATAAGCAAACGAAGCAAATATAAAATCTAAAATATTTGGAATAGTTACTTAAAACGTTACATATAAAAGTGTGTAAATGTGTGTGTGTGTATCTGTGTATATCTCTCTATATGTGTGTGTGTGTATATCTCTCTATATGTGTGTGTATGTGTGTGTGTATCTCTATATGTGTGTGTATGTAATCTTTTCTTTTCTTTTATCTTTTATTTATTTATATACCGCCTTTTCACTGCACATCGGAGTCTCAAAGCGGTTTACAATTGTTATTTTTGGGAGCGGGGCCAGTACAGGAGGCACATGTCAGACCTATTGTACATATTTTTAGTGGTAGGGGAAACCGGAGCACCCGGAGGAAACCTACGCAGACACGGGGAGAACATGCAAACTCCACTCAGAAAGGCCCTGGTCCAACCGGGATTCGAACCCAGGACCTTCTTGCTGAGAGGCGAGAGTGCTATCCACTCAGCCACCGTGCCGCCTATGTATGTATATCTCTATATGTGTGTGTGTGTGTATCTCTCTATGTGTGTGTGTGTGTGTCTCTATGTGTGTGTGTGTATCTGTCTCTGTGTGTCTGTATGTGTGTGTGTGTGTCTCTCTGTGTGTGTGTGTGTATCTGTGTGTATGTGTGTGTATGTGTGTGTATGTGTGTGTATGTGTGTGTATCTGTGTGTATCTGTGTGTATATTTCTAGCATATTGAAGTAGCATCAGGGAAAAGAGATTTAACAGTTTTTTTTCTCCTTTTGAACATGAAGAAGTCTCGATCTTGTTGTTGTCGTTTTGTTTTTGTTTTTGTTCTTCTGTTGTTTTTAATCCATGTAAAAAATAACCTTTCAAACACTCAGCCATAATGTTTTCTAGTTTGCAGTGTGTACATCTGTCACACCGCTGATCCAGACTCAAAGACAAAGTAAGGTGAGTCAAAGTGAGTCCAAGTGAGTCAAAGTGAGTTAGTGAGTCAAAGTGTGTCCAAGTGTGTCCAAGTGTGTCCAAGTGAGCCATAGTGAGCCATAGTGAGTCAAAGTGATTTAAACCTGAGTTAAAAGTGCGTCCAAGTGAGTTAAACGTGAGTTAAACGTGAGTTAAAAGTGAGTCAAAGTGAGTCAAAGTGAGCCATAGTGAGTCAAAGTGAGTTAAACCTGAGTTAAAAGTATGGGTGGGAACCTAAGGGTACCTGACGATACGATACGATGCACGATACAAAGCTCACAATAACGATAATATCACGATAACGATAATATCACGATAACGATAATATCACGATAACGATAATATCACGATAACGATAATATCACGATAACGATTTTATCACGATATGACGATTATTGGTCAGAAATATACAATATGCCAATTTATGGCATAAATTAAAGAAAAAATACACTTTATTTCATGATAAATAGAATGGAGATGCGTAATGTAGCCATATATTAAGTATTGATACCAATTCCAAAAAAAAAAGGTTTTTTTTTTTTCAAAATCGATATCGATACTTGGCAAATGCATATTGATAATCAAATCGCGGGAGAAAGTATCGCGATATATAGAAAAATCGATATATCGTCACACCCCTAGTTAAAAGTGAGTCCAAGTGAGTTAAACCTGAGTTAAAAGTGAGTCAAAGTGAGTCAAAGTGAGTCAAAGTGAGCCATAGTGAGTCAAAGTGAGTCAAAGTGAGTCCAAGTGAGTTAAAAGAGAGTCAAAGTGAGTCCAAGTGAGTTAAAAGAGAGTCAAAGTGAGCCCTAGTGAGCCCTAGTGAGTCAAAGTGAGTCAAAGTGAGTCAAAGTGAGTCAAAGTGAGCCATAGTGAGTCAAAGTGAGTCAAAGTGAGTCCAAGTGAGTTAAAAGAGAGTCAAAGTGAGTCCAAGTGAGTTAAAAGAGAGTCAAAGTGAGCCCTAGTGAGCCCTAGTGAGTCAAAGTGAGTCAAAGTGAGTCAAAGTGAGTCAAAGTGAGTCAAAGTGAGCCATAGTGAGTGAGTCAAAGTGAATTAAAAGTCGCACCTTGAGCTGGAACTCCTTCCCCTGGGTCCTGACCTCGAACAGCCCCTCCTCCGCCTCCAGGTCGTAGCTGAAGCAGGCGTCGCTGATGTCGATGTGCCCCAGGGGGAGGGCGTCCTGGGGGGTCTTGAAGTAATACATGAAGCACTTTCTGGGGTCGTAGACGAACCACCGCGGCTTGTACCCCCGCAGAGGCCCTTTCCCCGACAGCTTGTTGAGGTACCCGCAGAGCTTGGGGGCCTGGTCCTCGGACACCTCCAGGGACTTGGCGGGTACCATGCCGCGGGAGGAGCAGGGGTCTTTGGGGCTCGGTTCTCCGCCGTCCTCCGCCTCGTTCATCTCGGCTTCAGTTTGCAGATCCGCGTATGCATGGAGCTCATGGATGTTGGACCATAGACTGGTTGTCCACGCCTGTTCCATCCGCGTGACTGCCAGCTCCGCGCGCAAGGAACTCTGGGAAATGTAGTCGTCACGAGGTTGACGTGGTAGTTTTCTGGTGGACCACTAGGAGGCAGCGATAATACTGTATAAAAACATAGGTCTTCAAACTTTTACCCACGGAGAACGAAATTGAGTCGATAGTATTGTTTTATTGGTATTTAACAGGAAACAATCAATTATTTTAGGATTTTAATTTATATATTTTCTAATTGATTTTCTTGTTTTGTGAAGCACTTTCAGATGTCTTCTGTGTGAACCGTGCTAAACTTGTTTTTATACATCTTTAATGCGCCAAAATAAAGATGTAAACAGCTGTAGGAAAAGCAAATATGAAATCTCTCTTGTCTCTCTCACTCTTTGGTCTCTCTCTGGTTTCTCTCTCTAGTCTCTCTGATCTCTCTCTCTCTCTCTCTCTCTGATCTCTCTCTCTCTCTCTCTCTCTGATCTCTCTCTCTCTCTCTCTTTCTTGTCTTCCTTGTATCTCTCTCCCTGGTCTCTCTCTCTGGTGGTCTCTCTCTTTCTCTCTCTGGTCTCTCTCTCGTCTCTCTCTCTGGTCTCTCTATCTCTCTCTCTCCCTAGTCTCTCTCTTTCTCTCCCTGGTCTCTCTCTCTCTCTCTCTCCCTAGTCTCCCTCTGGTCTCTCTCTCTCTCTCCCTCTCTCCCTAGTCTCTCTCTCTCTCTCTCTCTCTCTCCCTAGTCTCTCCCTTGTCTCTCTCTCTCTCTCTCTCTCCCTAGTCTCTCCCTTGTCTCTCTCTCTCTCTCCCTCTCTCCCTAGTCTCTCTCTCTCTCTCTATCCCTCTCTCCCTAGTCTCTCTCTCTGGTCTCTCTCTCTCTCTCTCCCTCTCTCCCTAGTCTCTCTCTCTGGTCTCTCTCTCTCTCTCTCCCTCTCTCCCTAGTCTCTCTCTCTGGTCTCTCTCTCTCTCTCTCTCCCTCTCTCCCTAGTCTCTCTCTCTGGTCTCTCTCTCTCTCTCTCTCCCTAGTCTCTCTCTCTCTCTCTCTCTCTCCCTTTCTCCCTAGTCTCTCTCTCTGGTCTCTCTCTCTCTCTCTCTCCCTAGTCTCTCTCTCTCTCTCTCTCTCTCCCTCTCTCCCTAGTCTCTCTCTCTGGTCTCTCTCTCTTTCTCTCTCCCTCTCTCCCTAGTCTCTCTCTCTGGTCTCTCTCTCTCTCTCTCTCTCCCTCTCTCCCTAGTCTCTCTCTCTGGTCTCTCTCTCTCTCCCTCTCTCCCTTGTCTCTCTCTCTCTCTCTCTCTCCCTAGTCTCTCCCTTGTCTCTCTCTCTCTCTCCCTCTCTCCCTAGTCTCTCTCTCTCTCTCTATCCCTCTCTCCCTAGTCTCTCTCTCTCTCTCTCCCTCTCTCCCTAGTCTCTCTCTCTGGTCTCTCTCTCTCTCTCTCTCCCTCTCTCCCTAGTCTCTCTCTCTGGTCTCTCTCTCTCTCTCTCCCTCTCTCCCTAGTCTCTCTCTCTGGTCTCTCTCTCTCTCTCTCTCCCTCTCTCTCTCTCTCTCTCTCTCTCCCTAGTCTCTCTCTGGTCTCTCTCTCTCTCTCTCTCCCTAGTCTCTCTCTCTCTCTCTCTCTCTCTCTCTCTCCCTAGTCTCTCTCTCTGGTCTCTCTCTCTCTCTCTCTCTCCCTCTCTCCCTAGTCTCTCTCTCTCTCTCCCTCTCTCCCTAGTCTCTCTCTCTAGTCTCTCTCTCTGGTCTCCTCTCTCTCTCTCTCTCTCCCTCTCTCCCTAGTCTCTCTCTCTGGTCTCTCTCTCTCTCCCTCTCTCCCTAGTCTCTCTCTCTGGTCTCTCTCTCTCTCTCTCCCTAGTCTCTCTCTCTCTCTCCCTCTCTCCCTAGTCTCTCTCTCTCTGGTCTCTCTCTCTCTCTCTCTCTCTCTCTCTCTCTCTCTCTCTCCCTAGTCTCTCTCTCTCTCTCTCTCTCTCTCCCTCTCTCCCTAGTCTCTCTCTCTGGTCTCTCTCTCTCTCTCTCTCTCTCTCCCTCTCTCCCTAGTCTCTCTCTCTCTCTCTCTCTCTCCCTCTCTCCCTAGTCTCTCTCTCTGGTCTCTCTCTCTTTCTCTCTCCCTCTCTCCCTAGTCTCTCTGGTCTCTCTCTCCTCTCTCTCCCTCTCTCCCTAGTCTCTCTCTCTCTGGTCTCTCTCTCTCTCTCTCTCTCCCTAGTCTCTCTCTCTCTCTCTCTCTCTCTCCCTCTCTCCCTAGTCTCTCTCTCTGGTCTCTCTCTCTCTCTCTCTCTCTCCCTCTCTCCCTAGTCTCTCTCTCTGGTCTCTCTCTCTTTCTCTCTCCCTCTCTCCCTAGTCTCTCTGGTCTCTCTCTCTCTCTCTCCCTCTCTCCCTAGTCTCTCTCTCTCTGGTCTCTCTCTCTCTCTCTCTCTCTCTCTCTCTCTCTCCCTAGTCTCTCTCTCTCTCTCTCTCTCTCCCTCTCTCCCTAGTCTCTCTCTCTGGTCTCTCTCTCTCTCTCTCTCCCTCTCTCCCTAGTCTCTCTCTCTGGTCTCTATGAATTTCTACTCCGCACTAAAACAAAACAGTAAGTACAAATACAAAGTAAATACTCATTACTCACGGCCTGTGTGTGACGTCACTCCGGTGGTGGTGCAATCTCTGTCCTTTACACAAGTTTGAGCTAAAACTGGAAACACAACAGTTCTGAGAGTTACACAACTCTCTCAGTGTGACTTTGAGATAGATACCTCTGAAGCTAAGCAGGGCAGGGCCTGGTTAATACTGTGATGGGAGCAGCAGGTGCCACAGTGGGACACTTCCCCCACATTAGAATGAGTCTGATGTGTGTGTATCTCTCTTTGTGTGTGTCTCTGTGTGTATCTCTCTCTGTGTGTGTCTCTTTATGTGTGTATCTCTGTCTGTGTGTGTGTCTCAGTCTGTGTGTGTCTCTGTCTGTGTGTATCTCTCTCTCTCTGTGTGTCTCTTTCTGTGTGTGTCTCTGTCTGTGTGTATCTCTCTCTCTGTGTGTGTCTCTTTCTGTGTGTATCTCTCTCTGTGTGTGTCTATGTCTGTGTGTGTCTCTGTCTGTGTGTGTCTCTGTCTGTGTGTGTCTCTTTCTGTGTGTATCTCTCTCTGTGTGTGTCTATGTCTGTGTGTGTCTCTCTCTGTGTGTGTCTATGTCTGTGTGTGTCTCTGTCTGAGTGTGTCTCTGTCTGTGTGTGTCTCTTTCTGTGTGTATCTCTCTCTGTGTGTGTCTCTTTCTGTGTGTATCTCTCTCTGTGTGTGTCTCTTTCTGTGTGTGTCTCTTTCTGTGTGTATCTCTCTCTGTGTGTGTCTCTTTCTTTGTGTGTCTCTGTCTGTGTGTATCTCTTTGTGTGTGTCTCTTTCTGTGTGTGTGTCTGTCTGTTTGTAGCTCTCTCCTTGTGTATCTCTCTGTGTTCCTTGTGTGTCACTGTGTGTATATCGCTCTGTGTGTGTATCTCGCTGTGTGTGTCTCTCTGTGTTCCTTGTGTGTCTCTATGTGAGTCTCTCTCTCTGTGTGTATGTGTATCTGTGTGTATCTCACCTCTCTCTCTCTGTGTGTGAAACAATCTCTGTGTGTGTGTGTGTGTGTGTATCTCTGTGTCTGTGTGTGTCTGTGTATGTATCTCTGTGTGTGTCTCTGTGTATGTGAATATCTCTGTGTTCCTTGTGTGTCTCTGTGTGAGTCTCTCTCTCTGTGTGCGTGTGTCTCTGTGTGTGTGTGTATATATCTCTGTGTGAGTCTCTGTGTGTCTCTATGTCTGTGTGTGTCTCTGTGTATGTATCTCTATGTGAGTCTCTGTGTGTCTCTGTGTGTGTGTATATCTGTGTGTGTGTGTGTGTGTGTGTGTCTCTGTGTGTGTGTGTGTGTATATCTGTGTGTGTGTGTGTGTGTGTCTCTGTGTGTGTGTATATCTGTGTGTGTGTGTCTCTGTGTGTGTGTGTGTGTGTGTGTGTGTGTGTGTGTGTGTGTGCACTTGTTTTCAACTCCTGGTGGGTTCCATAACCTGAGATTCCACTCACGTCATGGGGACTGGTTTTACGTGGTGGGGCCCGAACACCGGACCCCACTGGTCCAAGCTTAATAATCAATGGGTAATGCTTTTCTAACGGTCCTTATGCAGTCTCTGTAAAAATATGGAAAGGACCCCTGGAGGTTTACTTTCCTGAAAAAAGTGTGTTATGTGTCGGAACCCTGGTGGTGGGTTGCGGGATATCAAGGAGGGGCACACTGGGGCAATTTCAGTCCAGCAGGCTGGAGCCAATCATGGAGCCCCTACCATCCAACAACCAGAAAGGCTCTTTGAGCTAACTCACTTTGCACCTGTAGATGATAAAACTGTCCAAGAGATAATCACAAGTCTGAGCTCCTCCACATGCAGCCTGGATGTACTACTCACTAGATTTCTGAAGTCTGTTCTGAGCAGTCTGTTACCTTCACTCACACAGATAGTAAACAGGTCCCTTCATTCTGGAATATTCCCAAAGGCCCTGAAAACTGCAGTCATCAGGCCCCTGCTAAAAAAGAGCAGTCTGGATGCTACGGTACTTAAAAACTATCGTCCCATCTCAAATCTGCCATTTATGGGGAAAGTCCTTGAGAAAGTTGTCTACCTACAGCTTACTAGATTTCTTATAATCAACAACTCATTTGATATGTTTCAGTCCGGCTGAACCCCACCACAGCACTGAGACTGCTCTCGTCAAGGTAACAAACGATATCCGGCTGAACACTGACGCAGGCAAAGTCTCAATCTTAATCTTGTTAGATCTGAGTGCTGCCTTTGACACCGTCGACCATGAGATCCTCTTACAGAGACTAGAGGACTGGGTTGGTGTCGCTGGCACCGCCCTAAGTTGATTTAGGTCTTACCTTGAAGACAGGGAGTACTTTGTGCAGATTGGAAACTGTGTCTCAGATCATATGGCCCTGACCTGTGGAGTACCACAGGGGTCAATCCTGGGACCTCTTCTGTTCAATCTCTACATGCTGCCGTTAGGTCAGTTAATACGCAGAGACCAAGTGTCCTACC